CGGCGGCGTCTTGGCGTCTAGAAACGCACAAGTTTCGCTTTCCCGAACAGACAACCTCCGATGGCCGTGAAAGCTACGGCACTCGCTTCTCTCGCCTTCTCTTCCCTCGAAGTACGTCTCTTTATTCACCAGTAGCACGCGTTTTCCTTCCTATTTCTGTTATTTTTCTTCTTTTTTTTATTATTATTTCTATTTCTTGTCCTGGAAAAAGTTTTCTTGATATCCAAACAAAGAGTGAGGTCTCTTCCTTATGTTCAGATCCGCAGTTTCATTCTCTTTTTGCTTTCCCCCCACCCCCACCCCCTTTTCGGTTTGTGGGATAACATATATCCCTGCTTTGGTTACGACGATGAGATTCCATTAGAGTGGGATCCTAATCGATTGTTTGAGAGAGGTTCAGATTTCGGTAGGAAAAGTTAGATTTATTTTATTTTTGTTCACATCTTTGTGAATCATGCAGCTGAAAATTATTAAATTAATCAAATTGGTAAAGTGAGGAAAGGAAGGTCGGCTTCCTCATTTTTTTTTTTATGAAAACCTGTCAAAAAAACGTATTTTTTAATTAATATATTTTTTTAAAAAATCAGTCCATTAAATTTTTTTATTTATATATATCATCTTTATTAATTTTTAAATTAATATAGAAGCTAACGCGTTTGTTAATTTTTAAATGAATTTTTATTTATATATATCATCTATATTAAGAAATAAAGGAGTTTTTATTTTGCTGCACAATAATATTTTTTTAATTAATAAAGTATTACGCACAAGTTGGGGAAAGTACCTAGCTTTATGTAGCCCGCCAGATTTGATAATGCTGACCCGCGCGAATACTGTGTTAGAGGAAAATCCGGATAATTATTTATTTATTTATTTATTTTTATGGAGTATGGAGAATCTTAGAAAACGTCTGCTGAGATATGCTTGGAAAATTGTTTGGTTGTTGGAGTTAAAATATATATATATATATATATTCAGTGTAAATTCCATGAACATTAATGTAGAAGACTTGACTGTTAGTCTTAAGACCACTAACTCATAATCTTATTGCTATAACTCTGCTTTACCTTGGCATGAGATAATGTTTTTATTTAATAAAATAATTTGGAATATCATTTATATACTTTATTAAATTTTTATATGAAATTAATGTTCTAAAAAGTCAAAAAGTCAACTAGGACAACCAAAGGTGAACGGAGGTTGTATATTGTTTGTAATCCATCAGGAAGTTCCATCTACTATACTACAAAAATAAGCAAAAGGGAAATGGTAAGCAAAAGGAAAACCTGGCAAACCAGTTAAAAAGTCGCAACCCCGGCAAAAAACAAATCAAGTAAATTTTAAGGTTTATCTTGGATGTTAGTCTGGCATTACATCATTGACATTTGTATAACTCTCAGCAAAGATCTCTCTTTTGTTGAAATTATTTGGTCACCTGCTAGACGCATCTCCATCTCCTTATAAGATACGCCTTTTTTTTTTTTTTTTGGGATAAAATGTAAAATTTTTATTTTTCCAGTAACTGTAATATACATCAGCAGAAATTTGCTGCTACAACCAATCAAATAATACTCAGCACAACTCTGCTGTACTCAATTCTTTACAACAGCCTCAATCCCCCATCTTTTTGCAATATCCATGGACAAATGGGAAGTTTTAGGCTTAGCAAAGCCTTTTGTTTTTCATTGTTCAAGATATGTCCATATTCAGGAAGCTGGGACATTACTATTCAGTTATGGACTTTGTCTAGTAAAAGAGCCTCTAGTTCATTTTCATTTCATTGTTTCATTTTTTTTTTTTTTTCTTTTCTTGATTCAGGGAAACAACACAAGGTTTCAGAATACTACAAAAACCAAGAAAGGCTTCTTGAAGGGTTCAGTGAAATGGAGACAATGACTGAAACGGGTTCTCTTCCTGGAAGTCTGTCTGAGGTTGTTCGTCTGTCCTTATTGTTTTTTAATCCTTATTGTTTTACCTTTATTAAATATGAGAATGAGAATGAAATATTCACGTATGTGGAAGCAGATCAATTTGCCTTTCTATCTTTCCTTTCAACTAAAATTTGATGCTTTTATTTGTTTTCTTCCCCAACAACATCTCAAAATTAACTAATTGATTCCAAAAATTATATTAAATCTCAATTCTTGTAGATGCACTGTTCTCATTGAATGAGAGCAATTGTTCATATATCTTCATCTTATTCCCTTCGGGATTCTTCATGCAAGAATGTTCTTCTCTTATACATGACATCTTGTCTAGGAAAAATGAAATTTAATCTAAAATTACTTTTCATTTCTCCTTAGGATGAGATGAGCAAGCTTGCAAGGAGTGAGAAATTTGCCATTCAAGCATCAAACATAGCTAACTTTGTGCTCTTTGCGGCAAAGATCTATGCTTCCATTGAGAGTAAATCAATGGCAGTTATTGCTTCAACCCTGGATTCACTCTTAGATCTACTGTCAGGATTTATTTTGTGGTTCACTGCACATACCATGAAGAAACCAAATCATTATCACTATCCAATTGGGAAGAATCGCATGCAACCAGTGGTAAGTTATTTGCTGCTTTAAAATCATGCTTACATTCTTAGAGGACATTCCTCTCTCTCTTTCTTATTTTGTTGCCTTTGTAAGGTCTTTGAAATGTCAGTTTGTAACAATTTAGAATCTCCAAGTTATCAACAATCTCCATTTATATTGCTGCTTTTTGAAGCATGTTCATCAGCACTTTATAGATAGAATGAATTGTGATCCTTAAGTAACAATACAAGTCCATTGAGATGTGCTTCGAAGGAGATCTTGGACTGGTTATAAATTGACCTTCTAGGTAAAAAAAGAAATGCTGGTCATTATTTAAGAGCCCAGGTTTGGCTGAACAGCTATTATCTCTCTTTCTCCAACCCCCTGAAAGGAATCACTTGCCTTTAGATAGGTGAGATGTGACCAATCAGTGGCCTTTTGTATTTTGGTCAACTATGATTTAGAAGTGAACTGGTTTGAATGTTAAGATGGGGGCTTATCGAATCAATAACTGAACTAGGCCAATGTATTAATAATATTTGGCCCCAAAGTGTTGACTCCATATGGCATCAGACAGAGCTTCATAGGACCATCTTTACTTTATCAAAAATCAGCATTTTGTATTAAAAGGAAATCTATTCTCACTTTACTGAAAAAATGTACCCTTTATTTGCTTTTTACATCAAAACTTGAGTATGTGCTGCTACTAATCAAGCTTGAAAATGCAGGGTATCATTGTTTTTGCATCTGTGATGGCAACTCTTGGATTACAAATCATTCTTGAGTCTGTAAGGCAATTCTTTACAAAGGTATGCTGCCGTGATCTTCCTCATTCCAAAATATCAAGGTTTGTGTAGGCTGATAGGTTCTTGTGAGATTTTTAGTTAAAAGTCATGGGATACAGTGAAGTATTTATAACTTATTTATTGGCAGAAGCTGGTTTGTTTTTCAATCCGTACAATTGACTATTGTCTTATAGATTAGTTTCCACAATTATTTTAAATATAGAAACAATTCTAATTCATTCTTCTTAATTTTGACTATAGTCTGGCCCTAGGATGAATGCTGAGCAGGAGAGATGGATGATTGGGATCATGGTTTCCGTCACAATAGTGAAGTTAATTCTCATGGTTTATTGTCGGCAATTCAAAAATGAAATAATTAGAGCATATGCACAGGATCACTTCTTTGATGTGATTACCAATTCAATTGGTCTAGCCACAGCTGTCCTTGCGATCCATTTCCGCTGGTGGATTGATCCTACTGGAGCTATAATTGTGAGTTCAGAGCCCTCCAAAATTCT